GCCCCTCCCAGTACAACTGGCTGTGCCCACAGGGCTGCCCATGGATGCTCACCCCCGCTCATCAGGTATTCCCTGAAGACAGGCAGACGAAAGTTGCCGGCCAGCGTGGTGAGGGAAGGCCGGATTCCCGGGAACATCTCCCCGAAACCCGTTGAGCCGGTGACGAAGTTGCAGAAGGCGCCGACGCAGAGGATGCCGTGGGGGTGGGAGCCGATGATGTAGTTGTGGCTGGGGGACAGGTCGTGGGTCTTCACCAGCTGTGGGGACAAAAAGGGGTCACATCCTTTTGGGTGGTATCACCACCACTGCCTGCAGGAACATCCCATCCTGGCACCCTGGCTCGCCGCGCCATACCTTCACGGGGAAATAATCCCGAAAGTGCCTCCAGACAGGCCATTGCCGCAGGCACGGCAGCCTCCTGCCACCTGCAAACCGAGGATTGACCACAGGAGATGATGCTCACCCCAGTGGGCAGCGGGACCCGCGGGAAACACTCCCTGCGGACCCGCTGCATCCCTCTTCCCACCGTGATGATGATGGGAGAGAGGAGGGAAGGAGCAGGTGGGACATGGTGCTCCCCATTTGCCATGCTGGGATGGACCCAGAGAAAGGGGGGGACCCCCAGACCCCGTCCTGCTGCAAAGCTGGAGGAAGGGGGGGGCTGCACCCATCCCCACCTTTCTCCGGCGTGTCCCAGTCAAAGATGACCCAGGCCAGGTAGAGCGCAGAGATGGGCCAGAAGCTGGTGAACACCAGGTAGATGAGGAGCAGCAGGCTGACGGTTCCTGCGGGAGCCAGGGAGGGGGGTGAGCGGGCACGTGCCCGCCCCACCGGGACCCCCCTCTCCAGCCCCCCACTCACCCAGCAGTAGGAAGCTGAGCACCCACTGCAGGACGGAGAGGAGCTGGAGCCAGGAGCGGACATCCCGCTGCGAGGGCCAGGGTGCTGCGAGCAGGGTGTGCAGGGCGGTCTGGATGCTGGCGCGGCTGCCTGCGGGGAGAGATACGGCACCCAGCCCAAAACAGCATAGGTTGCACAAATGCTGTCCCAGATAGCCATGGGGGGGCCCGGACTGGTGGTACCCGTGGCTGGGGTATGGGGGCAAGGTAGGAGGTAGGATGAGAAGGATGAAGCAGTTGGGCAAGGAGGGATGGGATGGGGTGGGATAGGATGCAGGATGCTCATCCCCAGAGAGCTCTGGACCGTGCCAAGAGGTGGCCCTGGGCAAACCACGGCTGCTCTGGGGCCAGCCTTGCTCTGAGCAGGGGGCAGCTGGCAGGCTGGGCACCCCCAGCCCAAACACGTCCGTGAGCCTGGGTGCACCAGCGGAGCTGAGCACAGCGGCACATCCCGCACCGTGCCGAGCTCCCCGGAGGCCAGGACCTTTCCCATGTCCTCCTTGGCATGTTCAGGCTCACAGAGAATTTGGGGCTTTCTCAGCTGGTGTTGCAGGGAGGTGTGGGGCAGTGTCTGCCCCCCGGCAAGTGCCAAGGACAGCAGCCAGGGGCTGAGCCAGGGTGGCCAAGGCTGGCCGTCCCCACCGAGCCTTGCCTCCCATGAAGGACAGCCCAGCAGCCTGCAGCCGCTCCACTCCCCCCGCTGCCCCCTTCCCTCCAGCCAACCTTGGTGAACCATTAACCGCCCCGGGCTGGGCGCCAGGATCCAAACTCCACGCACAGCCCCATCCCTCCTCCCCGAAACGGGCCCGAGGTGCCGGTCCCGCCAGCGCACCGCTCCCGGCCAAAGGTCTGCCGCAGCCAAGACCACCCGGTACAGCCACCACCGCGACCACAGCGAGCTATGTCAGCTCTTGTGTCACAAGAACCTTGTTTTCTTGGGAAAACAACCCCAAATCAGCGTGCTGGCCAGAGAGAGAGAGATGTTCAGGGTGAGACAGGAGCAGACCTGTCCCCACGGCTTCCCGTGCGGGGGACCCCCAGGTCAGAGAACCACCAAACCCTGGTTCAGGTGGCTGGTGGAGGTTCAACTCATCCCGGCTCAACCCAAACCGTGAATGGGACAATTGAAATTAATTAAACACTGCAGCCATCACCAGCATTGAAGAATTGTTTTCCCTCTCCCTTTCCCCCGAGCAGCATGCTGTGCTTTAAGCAATCCCTCCCACCCATTCCCGCATGCCCAGCGAGGCATCCCCAGAAGCCCTGCTGCCCGCACAGCCCTGACATTGTCAACTTTCCAAAGCCCCTTTTTTTTCCAGGGAAGATGCAGAGCTCTGCCTAGCACATTTGTGCCTACCAAACAGTTGCTTTTTTTAGTTCCTTCTTCTAGCTCCCCCTCAAGCACTCCATGAATGTCCAGACCGCAGACAGAAAATGGAGAAACCTCAGGGGCTCTGCTGCCGGCCCCATCCGCGGCAATAGGAGCCTCTTCAAACCCAGAAATTCTGACTCCGTGGCCCGGGGCAGCAAGGAAAGACGAAGGAGAACTTGCAGCGCTGAGTGTCTTGCGGGAGTAACGTTACCGAATGCATTGTCAGAAATTTCATTCCTGTTGAGCAACTGTATGTTCTCCTCTGGTGCTGCTAACCCCAAATCACTCCAAACACCTCCCTTTCCCCTAAGCAGTCTAAAGCAAATAGACAATAGTGACAACAAACGCTAATTGCCTGACCAGCTCCTCACATCTCTAGAGCATCAGAAACCATTCAAACACACTTTGGAAATATCTTACCACTAAGATTTTGGGAACAGGCTGCAATAATTGTTTTCATGGTGGCAAGGAGTTCTGCGCCAGACCCTGGTTCAGCAGGTTAAAAAGGCGAGTTTGGAAATACCGGAGAGCGATTGATTGTGTATCCAGCTGCTTCAACCAGCTGATCCAAGGCAAACCGTCTGCCACGGAGGGGAGCGGACCCGCTCCGGCCCCAGCTTGCAGAGCAAGGAGAAGAGCTGGTGGTCCTTGGGAGGATGAGGAGTTGCGCAGAGCGGTGAGGAGCTGCCGTCGCGAAGGGCAGCCACCGCTCCTTGGAAAGGCACTGCTGCCAGCACCGGCGGTGGCTCGGTGAGGACCGCCTTCCCCCAGGGAATGGTACCGTCCGCACTTTGGGTATTTCACAAACCACTGTCATGCTCTAACGGTGTGACTCCCCTCCAGAGCCGCCCGAAAACGTCATCCCAAAGCTCCCGCTCCGTGGTTCGGGAACGCAGCCCGCCAGACAGTCCCTGACCCTCAGCCCCACCACCCCGCACCATTCCCTCCTCTTCCACCCCTAAGAGGGGCACCAGGGCTGGCTAGCCCTGCCTGCTAGACCAGGAAGACTAGAGTATTGCCTGGAGAGGATTGGGGGGGAAAATGAGAAGAAAAGGAAACAAGAGCAGCACAAAAGCAGCCCTGAGACGGGGCTTCAGGCCAACAGCTGAAGGAACAGTAAAAATCCACAGCATCTGATTCACTAGAGCTACTTCTCAGGATCTACCTCTCCAGAAGTACTCGCTAGGAACAGCCAGCTAACATCAAATGTAGGAAAGGGATAAATACATGTATGGGATTCCACATGTTGTTAAAGTAAAAAACATGTTTCATGGGAGAGGTTTGGAAGCTACAAAACCTCATAATCTGCTCTTGTAAATTGTAGTGACTCAGTATCTGGATAAAAGGGTGCAACAGCATTCACTGCAGGCTACAACTTCACAGATGTAGATTATTTAAGAGGAGCTAAGATTGCTATGTATAAAATGTCTAAGCTCTCCTGCAGCATAGCTGGCCCCTCAAGTGTGCCTGGATCATGATAATAGGAAGGAAAAACCCCAAATTCTTTCAGAATCCCACTGTCGCCAGAGGTAAGGGAGCACTATGCTGATGAACCCAACTGTGCCAAATCAAATAGTAAATGCCTCATGGCCTGCTCCAGGTAACACACTGCCACACATGCAAGTAGCAGTGATGCTTTGTTTGGTTTTTTTATCCCAACATTTCTAACAGGTTTCGAACAATTGTAGTCACAGCTGCCAGCCCACGCTGGGCAACTCCAGAGCTTCCAGCCATGATTCCTCACTTTCTTGCCCAGTTACATGCTTGCTGCACACCAGGTCAGTGCCAGGTACAGCAGACCAGTCATGCCCTCTCTCCTCAGCAAGTTCAGGACTACACATTACAGCAGCTATTTAAACTAGCTTCAGAGGAATCCAGAAAAGGTTTTCACCCCTTCAGGGTTATTCTGCAAGCAGATGTCAAAGCACACTGACAACCAGTGCACTACTTCGCTTTTGAATATGGCGCCATTTGTCCCAGCATTGGCCTCTGTAGGGCTCCACAAGAAGGTCCCGAGTACACACATGTTGTGCATTACATTATGTATGCTATAGCCATGCAGACCCCACATTACACAAAGCAAGAGGACAAATGTTTCTATTAAGGCATTTGTACTATGTGTAATATCAGCACTTCAAGACATTGCCCTTGAAATACCTGATCTACTTAACACAAAAAATTGCAAACACTTCAGTCTGCCTGCTCTGGGAGGAACAGTGGGATGAGCCTGTGGAAAGGCCCCTGGTAGCGCTGGCTGCATACAGATGAGGTGAGCACTGCACCTGGTGCAGCTGGTGTGTTCAGAAGCCTCAGCCAAAAAATCCTGACCATCTGACATTGCCTGTTTCCCATCCCCAACTCCCTTGGTTGCTGGAAATGGGCCTTACAGACTTGCTCTGAAGAGCCTAGGACAAAGAGCAAGGGATTTTCACAGCAAGAACTAGGCAGCACATGAGATTTTATTTTGCTTAAAATAGAGAGAAAAAAATAAATACATCCACCCACAATACAAAGAGCAGTTTCCAAATTCATGTACTTTTCTCTCAAGGACTTCCTCTGACAGGGAGAACAGAGGCAGTCTGACCCCTCAGAAAGAGCTCCACCTGACAGGAGCTCTGTGGTATCACTGTACATGACCAGTGCACTCAGTCTGACATTTAATGTAAACCAAAGCAAACTGTCATGTTTACTCCTCTGACTTCAATGCCTCCCAGAGAAGCCACGGATACCTCCACATATGTACAGTGTATTTACTCCTATATCTCCAGGACACAGGCAATTCTTACAGGATTTCCAGGCCCTGCTCCCTCTGCAGCAAGAGCATCAGCCCACATTCTGCCGGTTGCCGTAGCCTCTTGGGTGTGTATCTTTCCAGTCATCCCAGTTCCGAGCTTTTTGAAGAGCTTCCTCATCATCCTCCTCCTCTTTTTTCTCCTGCTGCTGCTTCTGCAACTCTTCATCAGCTATACCTGCTGAAGGTCAAGAACAGGAGTGAGGGGTAGTAAGAGAGTGGAAGATCCCTAATCAAGTTCTCAAAACAGAAGCCCTGCCAGGAGCCAGTCTAGACAGAAAGCAGGAACTGCCAAAGAGCAGTCTAGCAATCCAGTTATTCTCACAGCCTAATAAAGTCTTAAGCTCTTAGTCTTCCTCAGTCAGTGGGTGTTTTACAGCCTAATCACATCCCCACTCGCCCTCCCCCTCAAGAGATTCCCCAAATTCTCTATTCCAATCTTTGCTTTGCCACTCCATACCTGGTGTTCTCTGTGGCACAGTCTGACCAGACACAACTCCTTGCCTTCTGCGCTGCTCATACCAGTCATCCACAGTCATAGTAGGCAGGCCGGGATATCCAGCACCAAACACTCTACAGCAAGAGACAGACAGTCAAAGAAGGCACTTTACATCACTACAAGCAGAAACATAGACAACCACGTAAAGAACTACTACGTCATCCAATTTGTACCAACAGTATAAGCCATGTTATCAAGGAGGGCTTGACAACAAACATATTTCTACAGCCTTGGCCTTCAGGCAACAGACTGGCCAGTAACCTAGCCAAAACAGCATTTAAAGAGTTCGTCCTGCTAGTTTAGAAAGGTGAGGACTGTTCCAGTCCAAAGACCTTGAATCACTTCTCCACCCCAAAGGAGAACACTCTGTGCTAGCTAGCACAGCTTGCCAAGGAGGCCCCTGGGAACTGAATTAGGCACAGCTTGGCTAAATAGATATATGGGAGGCTCAGGGCAGATAATGTCAAAAGCATGGCAAGAAATCTGGTTTCTATCCCATTTTGTGCTTCAGCTGCCAAATTCCTTGCAAGAGTCTCACGGTGCCACAAAATGTTAAGATCTTGATACCCTAGGGAAAGCCTTAGAGTTAAAAACTGTATTATTGTAACTGATGATTCTCTGGCAGGTATCACATCTTCCCAGCCCCTAAGATGACTTATTTGACTTCACTGAAATCTTCCAGAGTTTACATTAGATTAAGAGACCACATGTGCTTTTCACTGCTGGGCTCTTTAACAGTGAAGACTGTTACATCACATAGAGGTTAGAGGGGCAGATAAGCCTCACCTCTCCACAGCCTACCAAACAGCAAGCACGTGGCCTATAAACTAACACAGTAATATTTGCTTAATACGATCTCCTCTTCTGCCATCCCAACAGGTGGAAAGAGCATTAGCCAAGACACTGCAGCATGCTGGTAACAGAAGAAATCAGAGAAAGTTCAAGAAATGCATTAAACATTTGCCCCATCCCCTGCCCAGATGCACAACACGTGCCATCTTGACGTGACACGCTGCCTGAAGGTAATGACTGGTTTTCTGCATTTGAAAGAGTATCTTAGGCTTGATGTGAGAACACAGCACTGCCTCATACTGTGTCTAAATTATCAGAAAACAACATACTTAGCCTGAGCAGCATCCCGGGTAAGAATGAAAGGTTTCAACGGAGTCCTGACTTGCCGAGAAGTACTGTGTGGTGGTGCTGAAGGCTGAAGATGCAAACAATAGTCACAAGATAATCATGTAGATGAGAATCCCCTTCTCTGCTTCCCACCCCAAACAAGTTATTAAAGGTCTTGTAGCAGAGAAATGCCTCCGCTGTCAGAGCAACATCCCAAGATGGACAATTCAGGCCTTAATCCAGTTTAAATCATGAACTCCATCTGTGAGCTTCTACAAATCACTTCTCTTTGTGCCTTTGTTACACCCGCTCTGATCAAAGCGGAAAGCTGACAGAGCTAAACCAGATCAGCTCAGATCAAAGCATGAAATATAGCTTATTTTTCCCAGGGATCAAACACAGTACATTCTGAAGCAAGTAGAGCTCATCATTCCTGATGATATCACCCAGGGCACTACAGAAAAGCAAAGTTCTGCAACACCAATAATGAACTGCACCAACCGGCTCTGCCAACCAAGCTGGACTGTGGTCTATGTCAGCACATTATGATTTTTTATTTCTAGACAGATATTTTAGGTGAGTAACATAAAGCCCAGAAACACTATTCTACACAGGAATTGCAGGTCTGTGAGAAGCTTTCATCATTCAGAATGGGCATTTCTTTCTGTAACTTCTGGACACACTGTAGACCAGAAGTGTAGGTTTGAAAGAAATCACAATAGTCTTCTCTTATTTTACAAACGTACTTAATTCTTTATAGAGTTAAGGGTCTGGCAGAACCCAGCAAAGTGGAGAAAAGCCTTTGCACGCAGACCGGTTCAGCTCTGATATTCAATGCTCTAGCATTTCATAAGCCATGACTGTCTAGAACATGTGGTAGCAGCAGACAGCAACTAATACAAAAATCAGACCACTGCCCATTCAGAATTAAACCAAACCCCACCTGCTTGTGCTGTGATTGAGCAAAATTTCAATCAAGAATTCACAGAATAAAACTTATGTAACTCTGCTACTGAACTCCTCTGGGGTTCATTTACCCGCAACAGTGTCTTATCATCAGGTCTAACTATCCACAGTCCACGGGACCTGCAGTTCAAGAGAGATCTCATACCTGTTTCGCTGTACCTCTGCTCCTCAAGATGACCATTTCTTGGTCAATACTCTCAATTTCCTCCAGGCTAGTGTTGATCCATTTCTGGATTTGTAGTATGTAAAATTCCCGTATCTGATCCTCATCTGCTTGCCCGCTCTCCACAAAGGTTCTCATAGAGGCCAACCTGTTCTCCAGCTCCTTCTTCTGCTTATATCTGTCTCAAAGAGAACAAAATGAGATCATTAAATAACCTTTCTCTGGCCCAGCCCAGATACAGTGTTTTCTGAAATAAGCAATTTCCTATTTCTTGAAATTCAATCAAATAAATGTAGTTAGAGAGCTACCTCCTGCCCCAATCCCCTTGTAACTGCTCTTCACAGAGGTGCCAGTTGCTGACCAGTGCTCACTAGGGTACACAAATCCCAGTTATTCATAGAGCTCCTCACATCTTTGACAAATTCTTTGTGCGAGGAGGACCCGCTCATTTAACAACTGAGTCCTATAGAAGGAGAGATGTACAGGAATGTACCTGTGAAGAGGAGGAGCACTGGCAGCACCAGATCACACTGGTTGTCATTTACTGATGACCTCTAATGATGGGTAAGCAAGCAGCAAAACACCAAGCACGGGCATCCATCTCCCCACCTCATCTGACAGAAGGTTTTTGACAAATGAAAACTACAGAAATCAGAGGAGTTCCAATCTTCTTAAAAAAGGCTTTGAAAATGCACAGTTATATACATACATGCAGGATCAAAATCTTTTCCTCTCATCTTCCCCATCACTTCCACCTGTCAACTCAAATTTAGACATTACACAGGACCTTTACTACTCTTTGTAAGAGGTTTAACATGATTTCATGTATTTAAAAAGAAAATTGTATATAAAAAGGGAAGTCGTGATGGTTTGCTGTTGTAATTTAAGTACCTCCTGTCTGTTAAAGGCAATTTAAATTTAGAGGCGCCTCTCTCAATTACTTTTTTCTTCTCCAAGCAATCCTTGAAAATTAAGCCTCCCAGATAAAATTAGGCAAGCCTGGCAACATTAATCTCCTGAAGAAAACAGGACTTTAACTCATGGGCTCCTTCATGGAGAAAACCAATGTAATAGCTATTTTGAGTTGCTTCTGTATGACAGAAAGATATCAAGAAGCTGCTTATAAGGCAGATTAGAACACTTTTCCAATTCCTGTCTCAGGTGTTTGTGTGTGTGCAGGTCGTTTTTTAATACAGTTTTGGCTTTCTGGATTTTTTGACCTTTTCAGGAATTAGTTATTAAAGGGGGAAAACTACCTATATAGTAAGTTCCAGGCTAAATCCTTGTGTCCCACTTCCTTCAGTTACAGTGCCACCTGAACGAACAGTAAGGACCAAGGATTAGAAACCTACGGGAGCTGAAAGGCCAAGGAGCATAAAGTTCTAAAAAACAAACCCGTGCTTGAGACAGAACTCACAATGTGGGCACCTCCTGTTTGTCTTTAAGCGGAAGGAGTCACGGTACAGGCAAACACAAGCCTTCAGCGAGAGGGGAGTTCAGGCGTAACCAAAGCCCTACCTGTGGCGCTGACAACTCACTTGCACTCGGGAGGTGATGCGCAGCTCTGAGACTGCTGACAAGCAGCCCATGCTGAAAAAGTTTTGCTGTGCTGACCCCAAAGGTCCTGACGTATTCTAGTATCCCAAACCCATCTGAGTTAGGTTACTCTCTAGAATATAAATCATATTTTTGTATTCATGCAATTTAAACAGCTCTCCAGCCCAGCTTGGGCCTTTCAGTGCTACCACAATAAGCAACAATTTGATTGTCAAAATCCCCAACTAAAGCATGACGAAGAGGCATCAAGCACCTCTTTTTTAAAGATCTAATAAGCACATCACTAGGTAACTTCCAACATGGGTGGCTTTACGCAGTTAGCGGTGATTAAAGAACTAATTGTAATAACTTTTGTGCAGTTCTTCAAAGACTGGAGACTAAAGACACAAATGCGTCTCTCCAGTCTGTGCACAAGTCAACACCGTTAAGTAACAGGCAGTGCGTATCTTAAAATGAATGTTTAATGACCAAAGTATTCCAGCATCAAGGGAACCAGTTCTTTCCTGACAGTCGTTGTCCATACAGTCTCGCACTGCCAGAGGCTCTCCCCTTCTCTTAAACTGATTCCTGAAAGGCTTTAAACACCGCAAAGCAAGAGCCTACCTTTCGATTTTGGCTTGCCTACTCGATGCCATGGCCACCAGGCTGGGCTGGGTGGCAGCGGGTCCCCCTGGGGATGGGCTCCCAGCATCTTCCTCTGCTGGGGGGCTGGTGGCGGCGGGGGGCAGGTGAAAGCTGCCCAGCCTGTAGCTCCTGCAGAGCTTGAGGAAACGCCAGAAGTGGGCCCGAGCGCTCTCCAGGTGCTCCAGTCTCCTGCTCAGGTCGACCTGCTTCAGCGTCAGGGCCCCCAGCAAGGCGGGCAGCAGCAGGTACTTCAGGTCGGCCGAGGCGATCTCCTCCAGCTCCTCGTTCTCGCTGCAAGGGGGAGAGACGAGCCTTCCCGTTCCCGCTCCGCTCCACCTAGGCCCGGCCAAGCCCAGCCTGCTCCGCCGCGGCCGGGGGGGCCCGTGTGGAGGTGGCAGAAGCCTCGGAGGACCCTCCCACGGCCTCGCTGGGTGCCCCGGGCCCAGGCCCAGGCCCAGGCCCAAGCCCAAGCCCAGGCCCAGGCCCAGGCCCTCCACTCACCTGAACAGATCCAGCTGCGCCACCATGGCGGCCGCCCGCTGCAAGGCGTCCAGCCCCTGCCGCACCTTATCCTGCACGGCCGGGGCTCCCGAAGACGGCTCGGTGCCGGTCTCCACCTCCTCCCAGAGCCGCCGGCCCGCCGCCAGCAGCTCCGCCAGCCGCGGCCCCGCACCGGCCCCCTCCGCCATGCTGGGCCGGGAAGGCACCGCCGCAGAACCGCTTCCGGGTCGGCCCCGGAGCGACCCCCCGCCCTCCCCACCGCCATCTTGGTGAGGGCGGAGGGAGGGCGCCGCCATCTTGGTAGGGGTGGGTCGGAGGCAGGGCCTGGCGAGGCCTCCGCGGGCCGGTCGGGCTCCGGGCTGGGCCCGCCGCCCCCGGCCGGGCCCGGGGACCCCCGTGGCGGGCGGGTGGCGTCACCTCTACGAGGCTCGGCGGGGCCACGGTCCCTCACATAACGTCCAGCGCTCCCAAAGTTTGTGCTGCAGGTTCCTGGCCGAGGCACAGGCCTGCCGAGGGAGCCCCTGGGGAAGGCGGTGATGCAGCCCAACGAAGAAGCACAGATGAGGATAATTAGATAAACTGACAGAAAGCATGCACCTTCCCCCTCCAGAACAGGGAGCGAGAGGGGCAAGGAGGGCATGACGGCACTGAAATGGCTCCCGAACCCTGGGTGGAGGTGCGGAGGTCATGGAGGGAGCCTGTCCTGCCCCGGGTGCTTGGGCAGATCCTCCGTTCTGGGCCGGCAGGTGAGAGGCAGGGTCCTCTTCTGCTCTTGGCAGAGCCCGGGTGACATTAAGGCTTAGGACACCAGCTGGGTTCGCTACGGGCTTGTGCTGTCACCGCACAGCCTGCGACCTTGATCCGACGAGAAGGTCCTGGCAGCACACAATGCACAGCATGAACGCTCGGCAGCGTAGCGCTACGTTTTGGGGTTTTTTTTTAAGCACAGCGCCTTCCATTTCTTCTCTCTGTATTCTTTTTGTGACAAAAGTAAAGATAAGCAGCCTTTCTCATTTTTTATTTAGCTTCTAAGTCCCTTCTTCCAATAGCTCTGAAATTTAAACGGGCATAAGGCAGGTAAGGGTTAAAGTTAGGCTTTTAGGAACTGATGTGGGTCCCTTAAAAACGCAGGTAATTGATCTAGACATGAGAAATGTGTATACACTATAAGGATAATTCAGGGCCAGCTGGAAGCACTCAGCCACCAAGAGTGAGTCAGTTTACAATTTACTCTGTCTTCTTCATACCTACGTGAGACAGCTTGATAAAAAGTTACTCATAAAAACCAGAAGAGCTGGGGTTTAGGTCCCCATTTGCTGTGCCCTGTGGTGTCACTGTCCCGTCACCCTCCCTCTGCGTGACCGCTTTGCTCAGGCTGCAAAGGCAGGCGCCGGTAGCGTGAGGTATGTCAAGAGCTGACTGTGTCATTCTGTGCTGTTCCTGCACGCCAGGCAGGAGGTGAAGAACAATGCTGTGTCCGGTGGTGGGAAAATTAATTAATATAATGATTGGAAGTGGAATGAGGCCAGGAATCTACAGCTGTTTGTTCTTCACTAGCAGAAGATGCTTTGGCATCTCCAACAACTACAACCAGTTCACTTTCATCAGAGCAATATCACTCTCAATACAGCATCCTCCCGCTTCACTTCGTATATATTAGTTAAAGGCTACAGTTAAAACCTATCACATCATCACCCCTAAGATTCAACATTTCAGCAGCACTTTTAAGGATCAGAGCAAAAGAGACTGCTAGGGTGAACTCCTCCCGTGCATTATCCTTTGTGTTACTGAGAGACTCTCTGAGCAGTTCACAGATCACCTTTCTATAGGATATCTCTGTTTAATCTTTAACAAACATCTCCTTAGGGAATTCTCCTTGGAGGCCTTCACCTCTCAGAGCAAGCTGGGCAGGTTCATAGGCTTGCTTTCCAAGTAATTGTAAATAGGCTGATGATGGAGTGTGGGGTCTCAGCCTGCCTACCCTCCCCTTAAAACTGGAGGGGGTAGGAGAGGCAGTTTTCACCCAGATTGTCAGGGGCAGCACAGGACAGGCCTTGAGCAGCACATTATCCTGGCTCACCAGGCAAGCTAGACCAAGAGAATAGGAAATCCATGTGAGGCCCGGTTTCCTTTGAGATGGAGAAGGCTTTGCCTCTAAGAGCCAAGTGGGTTAGCTGGCTGCAAGCTCTTGAATCTGCTTGCTAGAAGTTAATCAGCCTTGTTTTTAATCTGCTGTCCCAACCGGTCAAGAATAGGTTTCATTTACACTGTGGGAGCATGAAATGAGTAAGGGTTAGTGACCAGAATCACCCACAGTAAGCTCTTCAGCTCCAGCGTAGCAAACCGCACGTACCCGCACATGTTGTTCTCCTCCTGCCTGAGGTCTGCCTGGCAGGACATGGTTTTTTGAGCTGCCCTTTCTAATTACAGAGCTAATGTTCTCAACACAAGGAAAAAATAAATTATTCTTTGGAAGGCATAATTACCCAGCAAGTCCCTATTCACACCACAATGAGCCTCAAGCTGGAGACTACAGGAATAGTAGCTGTGATTAGTCCCACTGCATGCGAAAAGGGGCAGTTCCTGGAGCTTTGGCAAGCTGGGGATCGGTCTCTCCCACTCCCCAGTTCTGCCAGGTGTCTCTCTGTGGTAGGTTTTCAGCATAAAGTCAATGTCTAGTGATCAGCCTCAGCTTCTGGAGGGTTCTTACATTTCCACTTCCAGGCATGAAACGTGTTCACGTGCTTTCCATTATACAGGTAGTAAAACCTACCGCCACGGTGTATTGCATTTAACTCACATGTGTAGAACATCTGGCCATGCATATCCAGAAGGCCTGTCTGGTGCTTCCCAGGAGCTCCAGCACATTATATGTACATCCAGTCTTCCTGGAAGGTATCAGAGCTTCTGCATGTCATCCCACACGACACGAGTGCTGCTCCAGCCAGACAGAAGCATGCCTGGAAATTCCTTATTCCACCACATAGCACACGCACAGTGGTCACAGCTGACACATACACAAGCCGAGAAAGTCCTCAAAATCTGTACGGCCCCGGTTCTGGGCTGGTGGGAGGATGCTCCTGGAAAAGCCCAGTTGGGTGGCAGCCCCAGGGTGGCTCACAGGCCCACGGCAGCGTCTGCTCTGGAGAGGAGACTGTTCTGCAGCTCCCTCCCTGCTTTAATTCACTTTCTGATGGACCTTGGAGGCAGCGTCCCCACGGATGCACAAAGGGAAAAGACCTCTATTTAGTGATTCAACAGGGCGGCCATGGCACCTTCTCTGCACTGGCAGAAAGGCGATTTGAAAAGTCCACCGTGAGCAACCTCCAGGATGCTGCCCGCACTGAACGTGAATGATTCTAAGCAAGCGAGAGGGAGAAATACAGGTTGTTGAAGGGAGACAAGGGTGCTCAGAAATGCCACCACACTCCTCCTGGCCCCTGCAGATGTGATGGGGATACAACAAACCTGCGGTATCTGGGATTTTTTGCACTCTGACTGAGCAACTTGCTGAAATACAGGTTTCAGAGCTGGAAGGGATGCCAGCCTGCCCAGCCCAGGAGGAGGGATGGAGGTCTGCTTCCCCTCTGGACCTCACACAGCCACTGCCACATCTGTCCTTCAAGCTATGCCCAAGGGCCCTCAGTCTGCTGCCTAGTTCCCCCTCTGGTCTTATGGCTGTTATTCACCTATGTTGATTTGTCCCTGTCCCTCAGCTGAAGATCCCCATAAGGACAATCCCTATTATTATTTGTCATCCTTAGGGCATCATGATATTGCTGAACACCCCAGAAATAAAGGAGAACAGAGATGCAAGGGTTTTTCCTTAAATACAAGTGTTTACTCATGTTTGTCTTGCGGTGTGATAGCGTAGGCACCAACCATCCCAAAGGTCAAAGCAACATCCCCCAAATATTTACAGCAGTACAGATGTTGATCAACAGCTGAGCCCCCAGACAGCGGCCACATCCCATACACTCTCCTTGTACTGGCTTAGCTTTCTTTGTGAAGAGCACAAGCAAAAAGCAGGTGGAGGTCCTGACCCATGCTGCAGTCCGAGCTGCAATGCAGGGCTGCAGGGAAGAAATATCGCAACATGTTCTTGAACCCAGAGTCATTCTTCCTCCAAAACTCTTACTTGATTACCAACAGCTTGTTGCGCTTGCTCAGATTATTCTCCTGGAATAAGTTATGCAGCATCCCTCAATGAATAAAGAAATAAAAGGAAAAAAAAATAATCAGTGCTTTAGCAGCAAAGTCAAAAGAGTCCATGAAAATCACTCGCCTTTCTCCAGACTTCATTTTCTGCACGAGTCTAACCAGCAGGGAACGATCGCATTCATACCAGCGTTACTCCTTTCAAACCCCAATTAAAAGTCAAGCAGTAACCAAGAGGAGGCTTTTCAGAGCAAACCCGTTGCCTGGTTCTCACCACATTTCATGAAGAGGGATGGTTTTCTTCTATACACAAGCCATTTTCACAGCCATCTCTCCCATAGCACCAGAAAGTGAAAGACTTCTGCCATGGCCATGGAGAATTCAGCTCCAGGGAGTCTCATTTCCAGAGAGACAGATAAACAAAAAGCCACAAAACATCAGGAAAAATGGCTAATGACAGGAAAGTCAAAGAGGTAGAGCCGTCACATTAGCAGCGAGCCTGGCGAGGGTTCGTGAAGCAGAGGGTAATGACAGCAGCCTACCGCAGTCTGGAGAGGACCGATTGTGAAAGCAGGGCAAAAGAAACGCATGAGGAAGTGTCTGAAGGGCTGCAAAGCCACAATTGTTACAGAGATGCTCTCGGTTTTAAGGACACTGCTACTGTCCTCGCCCAGGTTTATTCAGGTCCTGAAGGGCTATCTGTCAGAGCTGGCGATGTTTAGGGTGGAAGCAAAGGTGTAGAGGGTTGGAGAAAAGCCTTCTTGCACTGATTTCTCTGGCAGAGTGTTGTACTGATTGGTGCTGGAAGCCACTGGAAGGTGATATCGGGTCTGAGTTTTCCCATCTTTTTACCTCAGAGGGTGCTTGTGCTAACCCGGGCTGTGGGAAGGAGCTCCGTGTTCCACTGGCACCTTCCTGCTGGGTTTTCTGTCCAAGCAGGGTTAGAGAGAGAAAATGCATCCAGTCAGATGGATCTCCTCAACCCCTGGGGCCAAGCACAGGGTTTATTCCATCTGGATCCATCATCGGA